GATGGTGATGAGGTTGATGATGTTGGTGATGAGATTGGTGAATGTCGATGATGATGAGGATGATGGTGTTGGTGATGAAGTTGGTGGCGTCAACACGAGTGTCCAGTGTGCTGACTAATGCTTGAAGTGATCCCCGGACCGCAGTGGACTACTGCCTTCGGTTCTATCTATATCCGGACCGCTAACCTACTATGGGCGCCTTCGGACGTCAGGTAGTGGTGATACAACACACACACTACGATGAGGAGCAACCTTGATAGATTGCTGCTATGCTGACTGTAACTAATGTATACTTATGCTGAAAGTGATAACTAGTTAATATGGTGAGTAGAGTGGATGAGGGTCCACTCGACCTCTGATGACGAGAGGGCATGGTTATATACCTCTTCACAGCGTCGCCAGCGACACTGCTCCTGCTCTCTCTCTCCAGAGAGTACCCTCTTCGTCGAGTACTGTACAGGGGGGCCCTCTAGCACCACTCCTGTCCTCCTGAGCTGTGTCGACTCCTTCGACACTGCTCCTCCTCCTTGCTTGGCACCCCTGTGCCTCCTGAGCAGTGTCGACTTCTTCGACACTGCTCCTCCTCCTCAGGACCTACTTGCCGGTCTCCTATACACTGCTCCTCCTCCTTCGACCGGTGATGGTTCCTTTGGCTCTTATCTCTCGAGCCCCTGAATGGTAACCATCTGCATGCTCCTTGAGCTTGGTCCTCTTCTTGGCGGCCCCTCCTCGCATATGGGCCCGCTCCTCCTTTGCATGTGAATCCGTAGGAGTCCATGGTCTCCATGGAGACTGCACTACGGCCATGCTCTCTACTGGTGCCCTCCTGCTTCCCGAGCTTTCCGGCCCATGACACTGTGCTGCTAGGGAGTCACCATAGACCTCCCATCTCTTCTTGCTCCGGTTGGTCTTGCTCTTGACCATGCTCCCATCATGCTGGAGGATGGTAGCTCCAGACTCTTCAAATATCACGCGTGCACCATTTTCAGTCAGTGCTGGGATGGACAATAGGTTCTTGCTAAGGTTGGGGACGTGAAGTACATCAGTGAGTGGTATCTTGACGTCTCTTACTCGCAAAGTTGCATCGCCTATAGCCTGTACCCGCAACCGTTCGTGTCCAGCAGTATCTACGGATCCTTGCTTCGGTGTCGGAGCAATGAGCTTACCCTCATCACGTACCATGTGATGTGTAGCTCCAGAGTCGAGAATCCACGTACTGTCTTGGTTGCGGTTGCCAGTGTTGCTTACGAAGAAGGTGCACCCAAGTCCCTATTCCTGCTGAGTAGGGGTTTGCTCCTGGCTGTTGGTGCAGTTGATGGCAATGTGCCCGGGTTGCCTACACTTATAGCACTTGGCTGGTTCATTAGGGTACGCGGGGTCACGCCTGCCCCTATTGTAGCCCTCTTGGTTAAGGACCTGCCTATGCTCGCCAGCTTGGCCTGCTGGACTTCTATTGCTCACAACTCTGGCCGTGGCTCGGATACGACCTGAGAGCTCGGCCTCTTGGTGCTTCTTCGCTAGTGCATGATAGGCATACTCATAGCTGCAACCAGGTTGAGCGGCTTTGAGGGAGTCTACTGTCTGGGTGTAGAGCCAGTCGTCCTTGACGCAGCGGTACAGGGTAGACTTCTTGAGCTTTTCGTCCATGCAGCTGCTGAGCCTGGCTGCGTCATTCCAGATTTGATCGAGCTCCTTACCGAGGTTGACAATGTTGCGCTGGGCTAGCTTGACTTCGTGTACCCAGTTGTGGATGGCGGAGAGTTTAACTTCGTCGTTTATTGTGAGTGCAGCTTTGAGTTTCTTGTAGAGTGTAGAGCCGAGTTGCTCCTCCTCACCTTGCTCCCGCACTGTGTAGGTGTCGCTACAGCTGGTGGGTCCGTGGTCACAGGAGGACAGGATGAGACCCAGCAAGTGGCTGTCCAGTTCCTCATCATAGTCGGTATGGCCACTGGGAATCTCCTCAGTGAGGATCCGCTTGGTGTTCTTGATCGGGCGGATACAGTCCATGAACATCGGCTCCCAGATGGCCCAGTTGTTCTCGTTGAGCTTGACGATTTGTGATATGATGCTGAGCACCGACTTAGGGATCTTCTCCGCTTGGTTGGTGTTGGGTTGGAGGTTCATTAGTGAGAAGGCGCGCTCCAAGACTTGGTCTTCATCCCAGTCGGTGTGAGTTTCCCTGATCATTTGCATTGTGCGTTCAAGTAGCGCTACGCTATCTACTCTTGGTGGCGGGGCACTGGAAGCTGCTGAGCTTCAGACTCTTAATCAGTTGAGGAATCTGATTTTCTATGATGGATGATGATAGTCTAAATACAAGCTCGAATCTGGACATTTCAAAGTCTTTGTAGCACGCGCGCGTGTGCGGGGCTGATGCGGGAGTGTTATCCCGGCCGGGATCCTTGCTCCGGCCGGGATCCCTGCTTCGTTTCATTTCCCTCAACTGGAACAATGTGTGCGACATGGAGTGTTTGCGGAGGAGGATAGATACCCACTGTTATTATAGACTTTCAATCATTTACTCTAATCTCTTTTTTTTTCTATCGTTAATGTCGTCGATGTTTCGGTTGGCTGTGCCGGTGGTGTCGTTGTCCAAGCTTCGTGTTCAGTGTGGCCTGGCTGAAGTTGGGCTGCTCTCAGGTCAGCGTGGCTGGAGTTGTGGCAATTCAAGATTGGCACTTCATACAATCAAGGAGATGTGTTTCAGACAAATTGCATCGCCGGAACCGACAAAATGGCAATCTATCTAGGCTTAGCGAGCAATCTGAGCAATCTCCTTGTCGTCATTTAATTTTGCTTTCTTCTTCTCCCCCTCCCCCTCAACCTCAGCACTTCCACTTCTGCCCCTAGCCACCTTACCCTCACCTTGAATCTGTATATCTCCATTCATCTCAGTCGACTTCCCACCATCTCCCTTGTCCGCCTTCTTTTCCGCCTTCACCTTGTCCGCCTCCTTTCCCCCTGGTTCGCCAGGCACAAGTGGCGGCCTGAAATACGGCTGAGCCAACCAATGAGGAATATACGCCGGCCTTCCCGCCTCTCCATTTGGCTCCGTTAGATGACTTACCGACCCTGGCAGGGGCGGGTCAGGTTGCTTTTCCCATTTACCGCTCTTCATATCTTCTTCCAACCTCCGTTCGAGCTCCGTGAGAAATTGGCGGTATGTGACGATCTTTGCTGGGCCAACTGCCTTGTCGTCGAATCTAGCCTTGCCCAGCTGTTCTCGGAGATCGCGATGCACCTCCAACGCCGGTCGGCAGAGACGGAATAGGTGAGCCTTAATAGCACTGCTTTGAGTAGGGGTGCGAAGAGAGGTTACGATGTCAAGATACTCGTGTGCCATGGCAACAATCGAAGGGAATGGCAAAGCTGGTGCATTCGGAAACATCCTACTCGGAACGCTAGCAAGGAATTTCATAAAGACAGCAGGATTATAAAGGTTCCCCTCCGCACTCATGATTCCCTCTGCGCCCATCGCAGCTAGAGCATCGTAAAAGTCCTGCGGATACAACACATTTCCGTTTGCAAAGACAGGTACTTTTACTGCTTCTTTTACCGCTCGAATCTTGTTCCAATCTGCTAAACCCGTATGATGGCCTTTCATATTTCGAGTTCTCCCGTGGACGGTTAGGATCTGCGCTCCGGCTCGCTCTAACATCCGAGCATAGGCTACGGTTTCCTCGACGGACTCGTAAACTCGCATTTTGGCCGTAACTGGTACTTTGAGGTTGATGTGCAAGATGTTGATCAGGGAGAAAATGAGAGGCCAATCTTCCATAAGGTATGATCCATAGTGACCTCGACGCGCGATATGTTGCGGACAACCAAGGTTGAGATCAACTGCATCACAGCGGTCTTCTACTACTTGAGCGGCGCAGAGGAGCGTGGATGGGTTATTGGCGCAGAATTGGACAAAAAGTGGTCGGTCTGTGTCCTTGAACCTACCCTCGGCTGAAATGGAAGGCTCTGAAGAAGAAGAGCTGGCAGGAGTAAGAGAAAGAGAGGTAGCTCCCTCCTCGGCAAACTCCTTGTTAAAGTTAACTTCTTGGTACTTGACTTTCTTCTTGCTATTTTCGTCAGCGAACAACTTGGCGTTGATCATTGGTGTATAGACGAGTTCGGAGCCATACCGGCGGGAAAGAATGCGCCATGGAAGTTCAGATTGATCGACCATGGGTGCGACGACACGTTGAGGGGAGCCGATGGAGCGGTAAAGATCCCATGAGGAGAGTTTAGGATGGATGGGGGTGCCTGTGGGTGGGAAAGAGTCCAGGTCGGGGATGGTAGCTGGACCGACGTCCGTGTTGACGGTGATGTCTGTGGGGACTGCTTCCGGCATTTTGGTGGCTGTGTGCAGAGAGCGTGGTGGTTGCAAGTATTGCTGTGCAAGTACACGGGGTGTGGCACTTAGATAGCCAATAGAAAGAGGCTCGGCGAAGTGGAGCAAGGGCGAATGGGTCGCTCTCCAGGAGCGCCAAGTGGAGGCGAGTATAGTGTTCGCGATCGTGAAGGAGACCCGTCAGTCGTTTTTGACTCGGGTGGCGGCGATGTTGAAGATGTTGTTCGTTCCCGTCAGGTGCGTAGGATGGTGGAGTTCAGAAGGCCGTAGCGGCAAGGAGGGCCAAGCTTCACTTTCTGGAAATTTGAGTTTTTTTGTTTCGGTCTTCGCCGCGAAAGTTGCCGTCGTTCCGAAAGGAAGATCGGCGATAGCAACATTTAAAATGCCCCGATCCAGCTTCGTCTTTCGATTCAACCATGTAGCCTTGACAAAGCTGCGCAATCCATCTCATAACTCTATCACAAAGTCTTGACATCACAGATAGGCATCTTCAGGCACCACCGGTCGACGAACAAAGACTATGTCATCGATAGAAATGAGAGCCAATACAGTTTTTTGCTTCCGTTTTTCTTTTTTGTAAAAGAAGCGAAGGCAGCAAAACAAAGCGCAAAAAAGTGCAAATCAGGGTAAAAGAAAAACAAGCAAAAGGTAAAGATAGGAATGGAAACACAGGGGATCGAACCCCGGACCTTCGCTTTTCCGAACCGCGAAACTGAGAAGTCTGTTGGTATGCGGAAGCGACGTCATACCACTAGACCATATTCCCTAGTCTTGCCTCGTTGTGAAACATTATGCATATATATATTATCTACATTTAGTCCGTTGCGGATGTTCTTTCCTTTTCAGTAGAGTCTCAGTGTTGTATTTTGAGATTCTTCGGCATGCGCAGGCATTGATGACAAACACGATGAAGCACAATTTTCAGCGAGTATATGATGACAATTGACCAGTAAAGAAACAAAGAAGAGAGATCTTAACAAAGAGAGAGAGAGAGATAAGCGAAGAAAGACCCTAAATGCGATGCAGTGTGTGTGCTCCAGAGACGGTGTATAAGGGTACAAATTGGTATCGATCGATGAGAGAGAAGGCGCGCAGGGTTGTTTTGCTGGCGAAGAGAATGCGGGTGTTTGAAAGGGGAAACAACAAGCTAGGATGCGGAAGCGAGTATAACAGCAGCCTGTGTTGGCTGGATAATAAAAGGGAAGATCTCTTCTTCTTTGCCTTTGCTGGAAGAAGTGGCAAAAAGGTGGAGCAGATCGTCTTTGAGCACCAACGGTATACGGGTATCTTGACCGTATGATACACGAGGGCAAGAATGTCATTTTGGAGGGTTTTCTTCTTCTTCTTTTTTCTTTCTTTTTTTTTTCTTTTTTTTTCTTTTTTTTCTTTTCTTTTCTTTTTCTTTGTGGAAAAACAGAACCCAAGATTCGTGAAAAGTTGTGGTGAACGTGAGCGACATGGCGCCAAGATGGCCGTCACGCTGCGAGAAATTTTTGAGATGCAGCAAGCTTTTAGGAGAGACCACAGTGTAATGGATTAGATCACTCGTCTTCCTCGCTTGCTGCATGTTGGGCAGCAACGGTAGGATGAGGAGCATCCTTGCTTGCCCTAGTGCTGTCTACAGGAGCAGCGCGATGGGACTTGTTCCATTCTTCCAGCAGTTGTCGTCCGACGCCGGGTTCGAGTTCGGTACCGTCGCGAGACACCTTGACCTGTCGGTTGTCGCGCCAGGGGTTGCGCAATTTCTTGACCCACTGGAACGGCAGCGGGTCGGTGCGGATCCATTCGACACGGAAAGGCTTGCCCCACGAGTCGGACGAACACTGACGTGGTGGCGTTTGCGTGTCGCGCTCCTCGGTCGCGCCTTCTTGTCCCGACTTCTTGACTGTGACCGTAGCATCAGTGCCATTTGAATCCGTGCGGAGCTGGCTCTCGAGCTGCTCGGCCTGTCCGCGTGACTCCATCTCATCGAGACGAAGATTGTGAATCACTGCACGCAATGCGATCTGCTCAGCCATGCGTGGGTCGGCTGATGACCAGGAAACTGAGTCGCTCGGTCCAAGCGAAGGTGGGTCGGTCTGGCTCGAAGTGGTCTGTGTCGACTCTGTCGCCATGTCCATACGACTAATGCCGTGCTTGTCTGGCTCGGCCGTGACACGCGAAGCTGGTGTATCTGCAGAAAGCGTCGAAGCTAGCTTGGGACGCTCGCTCGAATCAGCCTCGGAGGCGGTGCCCCGAGTAGCTGTGTACGGCCAGGTGCTGGACTGTGCGATGGATCCGGCGAGGCGTGGGGTGATGGTGTCCTCACGCTGAGGTGACACTGCACTTGCGAAGGCATCAGCCTCTTCCAAAGAAGGGGAAAGCGGAAGTGGGGACATCATGGCGAGAGGATGGGACGGATCGATAACCCCATCGACTGAGAGGGCGCCGAACAAGCCTTTGGCGGTGTCGAAGTCGCGTTTGTCCAACTTGAGATGACCTCGCTTTGTGCTTGCATCGGAAGTGGGGCTGGCCGCCGATGAGTCACTAGCACATGTGTCAGAGGCATTCTCGTCAGCAGCCTCGTGAATGGTCGATGGGGGCAGGTTGCCGGACGTAGCCGAAAGAATGGAAGAGAGACTTTCACGTCGTCGCTGCTCGTCTTTGCCCTTGCAGTCATTCGTCGATGTGTGAATAGGTCCAGCCATCTTGGCGTATCCGTAGAACTCGCCCGTCTGGTTGACACCAAAGATGAGGAAGACAGTCTCACTGTTGCGGTAAGCCTGATCGAGCACGTTCTCGTTATGCGGCTGGGTAGCCCAGTAGCCCGTCTCGATGGATCTGTTGAGATCGTCGGCGCGACGACTCTTGAGAATGAAGTAACGGTGGCGGAAGGCAGGGTGTCGGAAGAGGGAAGAGTTGGTGGATGTGTAGGATGCAGAGCCGCTCGAGCTGTACGAACCTGCCATGGCAAGTCCGGCAGTCACCTGAGCTGTCTCCTTTCGTGACGGCGACATTGGTTCTGTCGAGATTCGGGTCGACGAGCTAGGAGACATTGAATCATTGAGACAAGCCTCATCAGTAGCCAACTCGGTTCGCTCCTGCTCACGCTGTTGCTTGAGCCAGTTGACATGGATACCGCGGCCACGCTGACCAGCAACACCTGCTTGCGCCTCTTCATCCTTCTTGCGCACTCGGCACACAAGTTTGGGGCATCGTGGATCGTGTGGTCGCACTTGCTTGCCATGGAAGAACTTGACTGCGCGGTCCAAGTGGGCTGGGCTGGCGTAGTTGATGAAGGCACAGTTGCTGCGCGAGATGAGGAAAATGGACAAAACACCGTGACCTTCCACATCCGGTTCGGCGAGCACGTCACCAGCTTGCTTCTGTGCTTCGGCGGAGCTCTGCCAGTAACGGTACTCGTCGGGAGTGAGACGCGAAAAGACCTCCCAAAGCTCGTCCACGGTGGCATTCTGAGGTACGTTGCCACACCAAAGAACGAAGTCGGAGCGAGGTCCTTGCTGTGGGTGGTAGTGGGGCCGCAACCCGGCGCCCGGGACCCGTTCGGCGGCAGTCACATCACTGAGAGCGTTGGTTTCAGCGTCAATGTCGGCACCTAAAACTGCACCTTCCAGCGCAACTTCCTCTCCGACCAGGTCGAGCGGCTGAGATGAGAGCGTGTTAGAATCTGCTAGACCAGACTCAGTGTCGAACGCAGATACTGGTGGGCGACGAGGCAAGGGTGCAACACCTCGGTGCGGCGACGAGTTGTTGCCAGACGAGTTGGAGCTAGCCTTGCGTAATGGGTTACCGGGTCGACCAGACTGGTTCGACTGGCGACGGCTGCCACCTCCGGAAAGGCTGTCGCGAAGTGCACCGATCGAGGGCATGCCGCCTTGGGCAGATCCAGACAAGGAGCCTCGACCAGGTGCCCCGCCTTGAGAATGTGGGGTGCGGCCAGGTGGCGGTCCGTAGTGGCCTGGGTGCGGGTGGTATGGGTACGAGGGCGTGAAGTTGGACGAGGCCTGGATGCCGTAGGGTGTCGCGCCTGGATGCGAGCCTTCGCTGTAGGGCTGTTGAAACGATTGGTGGGAAGACGAAGAGTTGGTCGAGGCCGAAACAGTTGGAGATGGATAGAAAGCTCCAGGATAGGGAGCATACTGCAGATGGGCATCATCGGGAAGATGAGCTTGTGGAACTTCGATCGGGACCCAGGCCCATCTCGTGCGTCCCGCTGCGTGACCAAGGGAAGGATTAGAACTCGCAGCAGGATACGAAGGAGAGTAGTGGAACGGATAATGCGAACCGGTCGTGACGTCGTGTGGAGAGGGCGCAGAGCCGGATCCAGAGCTTTGCGAGTTGGCGCGGCCAGGTGGTGGCCGTGCGAAGTGATGCGAGTCAACACTGGGACGGCGCGAATGATAGGGAGGACCTGTGTAGCCGTAGCCGTCGACTGCGCCTGGTAAGCCGTAGCCGGGGAATCCAGAGCCGGCTTGCTGCCCGTGATGATGGTGTAATGGGGGGACGTTGTGAAAGCCAGATGGATAGTTTGTGTATTGTCCTGGTGGTGGACTTGCAACGTGCCGTGCAGAGTGCTGGGCGGGTCTGTCGATGGAAGGAGCTGCACCTGCCGAGCTGACGGTGCGCCGATCCGGATCCACGAGCGTTTGTTTGCGTGAAGGATCGGTGCGAGATGGTCGTTGCAAGCTAGCTGGATTGTGTGTCATGGTCGACATGGAAGCGATGACGAGGAAGAAAGCGATCAGGCGTAGGAACAGATGTGATTGGAGTCGTAAAGCTGATCAGGGAAGGCTGAGGATGAGAGTGCGAGCTTGCTGGCGGTAAAGTGATCGAAATAGTCGATGTTAAAAGAGGCCTGGTTGATGGACGAGTTGAAAGCCGGCAGCTTGTGTAAACTTCACGACCGAAAACGGAAGTGCTGTAGAGATATGCATGCAAGCATAGAGCTGCTGAGAAGCTCTCAGGTGCGTATGTGAATACGAAGCTGTGATGCAGAGTTGTGGGCTGTTAGAAACGTAGTTGAGCGTTGATCCAAAGAACCGTGACCGTGAAGAGGAGCGTCGCAGAGAAGGAGCGTGAGAGACCGTCCAAGTGAGTATAGAGTGTGATGCGCGTGGAGGGTTTTAAAATCTGAACAGAAGAATGTGAGGTGTGAAGAGAGATTGCAAAAGCAAGGTGAAGAGGAAAGAGTCAGTTTCATGCATCAAAGTGAGCGAGTGGCTGATCGACGGTGGCAAGGGCGAGCAGGAGGTGAATTCGAGATGAAGCTGGAAAGATCGAAGCCTAGACCCTGTGGCAAGTGAACAAGGCACAAGAATAAAACTGGGCCAAAGCTGAGACTGGAACCGTTTCCCGGAATAGAAGGAAAATGAAGCCGGTTGAAAGCAGTCGGAAAGCCAAAGGCAGGCAGCATACAAGGCGGAGAAGAGCGAACGGCACGACGTACTATGCTGACATCGGTTGCTGTTGCAGGAAGTGGAGCATGGTAAGGGCCGAGAATCTTCTAAATTCGGGTAGCAACTCTTCCAGACCGTTTGCCCCGAAACTCGAACTACGAACGCCGACGACATACGAACTGCAACACCAAGCAAACACTGAGCGACCCTAGACGAGTTCAGCGTTGGACGGCACAGAAGCGTTGCGGGGTTCGAAAAAGGCCAAACCTAGAAGGTGCTGCCAAAGGCGACTGAGCGAACGAGCAGACTATGACACCATTGCGCATCTCGGTGAAATCGCAATGCTTGCCGTCCATTTTCGGATGAGAAT